GAATGGGTTGCCATTTCCTTCCCCAGAGGACCTTCCCAGCCCAGGGATTGAGCCCACATCTCCTGCATTGGAAGGCAGATTCTTTACCACTAAGCCATCAAGGAAGCTTGAGAAGTAGGGTAGGAGACCCTAAAACAGACCAAACACGGCAGATCTGATCAAGGAAAAACAAAACCGCCATCTAAATAAATATCACTAGAAAGAAAATGACGAAGTGATGTAAAGAGATTGAGAATTGTCATCATCTTTAAACAAGGTGAGAGCATTTAGCTAAACTCGGAAAAGCACACAGAAACTCAAGGATTCAACGTTTCTGAGGGTTCCTTATTTGTTATTGGTCATGCGGAGGGAACGTGTGAGTAGATTATGAAGATTTTGAAGGAACTTGAATAGTCTTGCCAGGTGGCATTTGCCTTCAACTAGAAAAAGCCATAGCTCTTATTTCTGAAGGTTTAGAAGGCCCAGGAAATTCAATATATTTGAGTGTACACAAAGGTCTAGATCCCACATACAAATATTCTATTCTTGCCAAATCAGGGCCCTGACTTTGTCACAACAGATGTGAGAAGGTTAAAAATTCAAATTTTCCAGGACTTTTAAAACTCTTGCAATCAAAACACACGCGCGCGCACACACACACACACATACACACACACACACAAATATAATGAAGATATAATTAAGAAAAGAAATAAATCTAAAAATAAAATAAGCCTGAAGGACTGAATTCTATGCTTCCTTTTCTTCTGTGTGCACAAGGTATTTCCAAAATCAACATCTGAATAACTGAATGAGTGAATGATTGCCTGCTAATTATCTGCACAAAAAGAAAACTACACTGCCACAACAAAAGGAAATTTTAAAAAACTGTATCAGGATTAATCTAGAAAATAAAAGGTGCTAGAAAATTTTTCTTATAAAATTGCTTATAATTTTTTGATATATATTACTCTTCTAAGCCACACGAGTATAAAAGTCACAAAGAAATTACTGGTTAATTTGAATATTTCAAATCAATGTATTGAGAGAAATCACCTCATAATTATATTAAAATATAGATAAAACATTATATTCTTATCCCTTCTTCTGTCCACGTGCTCTTCCCCTTTTTTGAAACAGGCTTTGCCAACAGTCCTTGCTTTTTACCCATGTTTCTTTAACCTGAGATTAGAAGTTAAATTCTTCATGTGAGAATCACTTGATGTTCAGAAGCCTTGTGAATTGATTTTGAAAACCTCTTGAGGTCTTTAATTCCACTTTAAGGCAGTTCTTCCTATCAGGAGGTATTTGAAATCTCCCTCCTGCAAATTACCATTTCCCTTGGTTCACAAGTCCAACCTGAAAGTTTAGAAATAGATTAGGAATTTGAAAAATTCAAAATCAAATCCCCTGATAGAAAGCAATGTGATGACATAGAAAACTCAAGAGTCTAATCAGTTTTGATGCCTAGTTGGGTCATGAATTGAGCAACTCAGTTAAGCCTTTGGCTCTTTCATTGTATAAAACCAAGAGAAGCAAGTGCTTGGATCTGCCAGTTTTGCAGGAGAAATGAGATTGTCAGGAGCAATGTTTGCCAGAAGTGAGTGCACAACTCAAAAGATGACCCAGAAATCCATCAGTTCTCCACTTTGCCAACCTGAGCATGATTCTTTGCTTCTTTGTAGCCCCGTGGAAATATGTGCTTAGTCACTCAGTCATGTCCAACTCTCTGGGACCCCATGGACTGTAGCCCGCCAGGCTCCTCTGTCCATGAGGATTCTCCAGGCAACAATAGTAGAGTGGGTTGTCCTTGCCCTCCTCCAGGGNTTTGTAGCCCCGTGGAAATATGTGCTTAGTCACTCAGTCATGTCCAACTCTCTGGGACCCCATGGACTGTAGCCCGCCAGGCTCCTCTGTCCATGAGGATTCTCCAGGCAACAATAGTAGAGTGGGTTGTCCTTGCCCTCCTCCAGGGGAATCTTCCCACTCAGGGACTGAACCCAGGTCTCCCGCATTACAGGCAGATTCTTTACTGTCTGAGCTACCATAATGTTAAATAAAGGTTTGAGTGGCTTGCAGCCAAGAAGCAAATACTAAGGCTTGATTGGCATATAGCTCTAATTACCAATACTTTTCCCTCAGAAATCCAGCTTGGATATTACCAGGAAAGGGGAGGCATTTAGATTGACCAAAAAAGTATTATTAGATGCCCTTCTCAAAACTATCTACCTACTCTTTCTCTTACCACATTCCATCAATTCAAGTTAATTTGGATAAAAAGTTTCTCTTTAGGGCTACAAATGGGTATTAAATATAGTATAGTATAAATACAGTAGTCATTTACTCCTTAATGTTGAAAAGCACAAAGTTAGTTCAGGGTCAATAATTGAGAGTTCTTTTTTATTAAAGGAAACAGAAGGGAAAAAAGCAATCATGGAAGTGCATTCCTTAGGATCGAGGTGTACAGCAGACCACAGGGGAACTGATAACTTGAGAACATGTCAGTACCAAGTGGATCGTGGGAGCAGGAGGTTGGGGTGGGTATGAAAGTAGAGATGGAAAAGGAGAGAAGTGGCCATGGTTTGCCAAGTAAGTGTCCCAACATACATTCATGGGAAATCTTATTGGAGGTTCCTCTGACTAATGTCTTGATTGGAGTGATGCAGCAGATTTGCTTGGAAAACTGCAATCTTCTGTTTGCCACGATTTATTCCCCACTCCCCAGTCCTCAAGTATCATTCCAGTTCCTGCCTCCTTGGGGATAAAAGTGAGAAAGAAAATGGAGAAGAGAGAGGGAAAAGCCAGTTGCCTGCAGACACAGGAAAAGGTAGGTTGCTCCTGATCCCAGGACCTGCACTCTGGCCCATTGTTGCTGTTAGTCAATCACTAAGTTGTATCCAACTCTTTGTGACCCCATAGACTGCGACATGCCAGGCTTCCCTGTCCTTCATCTCCCGGAGTTTGCTCAAATTCAAATCCACTGAGTCAGTGATGCCATCCAACCATCTCATCCTCTGCCCTAAATCTTTCCCAGCATCAGGGTCTTTTCCAGTGAGTCGGCTCTTCACGTCAGGTGGCCAAAGTATTGGAGCTTCAGCTTCAGCATCAACCCTGAATACTCATTGGAAGGACTGATGCTGGAGCTAAAACTCTATCCTATAATATTCTATTAAGATTTCTCCTACTCATGTGAGCTACTAGAAATTATTCTCCATAAATGAGTTAGATCTCCAAGACTGACATAATTTAGAATAGAGATGCCTTACTGCAGGTCTTTTTCAAGTGGTTAGGGCTATTTAATGTTTTACTTTTATTTATTTACTCTTTTAAAGGGCTATTTAGACACAAGGAGGAGTCATTATAAAGTAGAATCAGTCTTAGAATGGTCACCAGGTAGAGGCATAAGAGAAGATGGGAAAGATTGCAAGGCCAATGCCAATTCCTAAGTTAGGATCCACTAAAAAGAGAGAAACCACATAGTAATGTGAATGAGAAAAATTTAACATAAAGGATTACTAACATGGAACTGGAATAATGGAGAGTTTGCTAATAAGAATTAAAGAGAATTCTTAAGAACCAGGAGAAGCAGACATTATACATGGAGCACCCAGTATCCTTAAGGTTGAAATGGGTACCCCAGAAGGGCTGCAATGCAGTCCCCATGGGGAAGGGCAAAACCACACCCCACTGGATGGTGGGAAGTGGCTAAGATGCCTCATTAGTGGGATTTGCCCTAATCCTGCCCTCCAGACGTCACGGGAAACCCCTGGCCTCTAGGAACTGCTGAACCTGGGAGCCCCTGGGAGTCCCTAGAAGCGTTCACTGCAGGAACCCACTGCAAGAGATACCAGGACCCTGTGGACTCCCAGAACAAGAGGAGGCCAAGCCACTGCAAGCACAGAGCACCAAGCAAAGTGCACCGTGAAGGGGCCAGGCTGGAGAACACGAGGTTGCTGCTGAAACCACACTCTCCAGGAGCCCAGGACTGGAGACACTGGAGATGCTGGCCGAGTTGAAGGCACTGAGCATGTGGTGGCCAAGGGCACTCTCACCAGCAGGGCACCAGGAGGTCTTAGGTGCAGGATGTCCGTGTCAGGGGGTCACCAGGCCAGAGTTAGGGCCGGGGTCTTTCAAAATGATGGTGTGCTCTGGGACACAGAGCTTGAGTTGAGTGCCACTGGATGGTACCTTCACACACACACACACGCACACGCACACACACACACGCACATGATCAATTCATGGAGAAGAAGCCCACAGCTGCAGAATCAGGAAGCCCCATCTTCTATTGCCATCCTCATTTAACTTATATGCAGAGTACCTTGTGTGAAATGCCAGGCTAGATGAAGCACAAGCTGGAATCAAGATTGCCAGGAGAAGTATCAGTAACCTCAGATATGCAGATGACACCACCCTTATGGCAGAAAGTGAAGAGGAACTAAAGAGCCTCTTGATAACCAGTCCATCCTAAAGGAAATCAACCCTGAATATTCATTGGAAGGACTGATGTTGAAGCTGAAGCTCCAATACGTTGGCCACCTGATGCGAAGAGCAGACTTATTAGAAAAGACCCTGATACTGGGAAAGATCGAAGGCAGGAGAAGAGGACGACAGAGGCCAAGATGGTTGGATGGCACCACCGACTCGATGAACATGACTTTGAGCAAACTCCAGGAGATAATGAAAGACAGGAAAGACTGGCGTGCTGCAGTCCATGGGGTCGCAAAGACTCGGACACGAGTGCGCAAGAGAACATCTACCGCGTCCCTCTAGCTCCCCCTACTGGCAAAGCTTGTCATATTTATGTCAGAGAAGGTAGTGAAGGGCGAATAGGCAGCTGAGAAATAAGAGATTGACAGCGGTCACTGTATCTAGCAAAGAACTATAAAACTCAATTCAATGTAACTATAAACACCAATACTACATATGTCACCCGGAGATAACTTCGTGTTGTTAGTCGTTCAGTCGTGTCCAACTCTTTATGACGCCGTGGACTGTAGCCCACCAGGCTCCTCTGTCTACGGGATTTCCCAGGCAAGATTACTGGAGTGCGCTGCCATTTCCTTCTCCATGAGATTACTAAGAAAGCGCAATTAAGGTATAGTCTTGGATAGGTAATAAGTAATAACAGTCTCCTGGGGATTCCCAGGTGGCTCAGTGGTAAAGAATCTGCCTGCCAAGCAGGAGACGTAGGTTCAATCCCTGATCTGGGAAGATCCCCTTAAGAAGAAATGGTAAGCCACTCCAGAATTCTTGCCTGGGTGGGAAATCCCATGGACAGAGAAGCCTGGCAGGCTACAGTCCACAGGGTCACAAAAGAGTCAGATATGACTTAGCAATGAAACAACAACAATTATCTAGTTTACTTTTTACCGAGGTATAATTGACATACAACATTAGTTTCAGGTGTACAACATAATTTGATATTTGTATATATTGCAAAATGGTCCCCACAGTAAGTCTAGTTAACATCCATCAGCATATAGAATGATAACTTTTTTCTCGTGATGAGAACTTCTAAGATTTACTCTCTTAGCAACTTGCAGATATTCAATACAGCATTGTTAAATGTAGGCTCCGTGCTGTAAACCACATCCCCCTAAATTATTTATTTCACAACTGGAAGATTGTACCTTTTGATTGCCTTCATCCATTTTTCTCACACCCCCGCATGGCCCACCTCTCACAAACACCAGCTTGTTCTTTGTATCTATGAGCTTAGTTGTTTATTCTACCTATAAATGAGATCATACAGTATTTCTTTTTCTCCAAGTCATTTCACTTAGCACACTGCCCTCAAGATCCATCCATATTGTTGCAAAAGATTTCATTCTTTTTTATAGCTGAATAGTATTCTACTGTATATATACACCATGTTTTCTTTATCCATTGTTGGACACTTAGGTTACTGCTATACTTTGGCTATTATAAATAATGCTTTTTTTTAAATACACACACAGACGTGAAATTGCTGGACAATATAGTCATTGAATTTTTATTTTTTTGAGGACTCTCCATGACGTTTTCCATAGTGGCTGCATCAATTTACATCCCTACTAACGCTGCATGAGGGTTCCCCTTTTCCACATTCTTCCCAACACGCTTTATTTCTTGTCTTTTTGATGATAGCTCTTCTCATGGGTGTGAGGTAATAACTCAATGTGGTTTGGATTTGCATTTCCCTGATGATGAGTGAGGCTGAACACTTTCTTGTACCTATTAACCATCTGTATGTCTTCTCTGGAAAAATGTCTATTCAGATCCTTGACTCACTTTTCAATCATATTCTTTGAGTTTTTGCTATTGAATTGTATGAGTTTTTATATACTTTGGATACCAACCTTTTAACAGATATACAATTGAAAGTATTTTTTTCCATTCAGCGGGCTGCCTTTTAATTTTGTTGGTGGTTTCCATTGCTATGCAGAGGGTTTTTTGTTTGATGTAGACCTACTAATTTATTTTGTTTATGCCGCCTTTGATTTTGGTGTCAAGTCCAAAAATGCACTGCCAAAACTGATGCCAAGGAGATAACTGCCTATGTTTTTTCCTAGGAGTTTCATGGTCTCAGATCTTACAGTCAAGCCTTTTGAGTTAATTTTTGTGTATGGTACAAAATAGTGGTCCAGTTTCCTTCTTTTGTATGTGGCTGTTCAGTTTCTCCAGCACCATTTACTGAAGAGACTGGCCCTTTCCTTATTGTATATTCTTGGCTTCTTTGTCACCAGCTTTAGTTGTATTAATTGCAAACCATGCATCATTTACCCAGTTCACTAATAAAATCTAGCAGATGAAAATGGCACAATTAAAACTCATCCCTGGTCATGACCCCAAAACTTCATTCCTCACTTACTTAATCTTCATCCTCCAAAGACCCAAGCTTTCAAGTTGTACATGATTCTTCTGATTCCACAGCCCTTCTGCTGCTCCCGGCATTTCATGAATCACCACCACGGTTGTTTATCTTCATTTTTACTGCTAACAGTTCAGAAAATTTGCTCTTAACACCATGATTTTTATAATAGGTTTTTGGTTCATGTTTCTATCTTCCCATTTATACAGTGTATAATAACTGTCACTCCAGCATTCTTGCCTGGAAAACCCCATGGACAGAGGAGCCTGGTGGGCTAAAGCCCATGGGATCACAGAGGTGGGGATGACTTAGTGACTAAACAACAACAATAACGGACTATCACCCTTTAATCTCTCAAAATACTTTGATTATAGCACATTTGTTTTTAAAAATGAATAACCATGCTCATTTGTTCAAATTAAACTTTTAAAAATTTACATAAAATGTACTACATCCATGGACCTCAGATGACTTTTCCAAAGCTATTTTATTAAACAGCCCTTCTGCTTTGTCTCTTTCTATAGGATGTGATTTTCCAGGCCTTCCAGCATTTCTACCTTGTCTCATAAAACAGGAAACTGATGGTTTACTCTCCTCGAAGAAAGTGGTCTCTGGGTGCTCTCTCACTAATCTTTTTGGTACAGTTGAGAAAATGAACTGTAAACACTTGACTCAGTACTAGACACCCTCTTTGGAAAAGTGTGCCCTCAGGTGCACGCATTCTCTGCTTCTCCGGGTAGTAACCTTATAGAGGCATAAATCTGCTGCTCCGAGAAATCAATGTACCAAGCAGAGAAGCAGTGGAATGAAATGTAAGAGGTACACTGGCTGCCGGTCTCAACCACATTTTCCAATCCAGCTTTTATAAAATTAAAATTTATAAGATGGAAATGTGGTCTCCATCTGTTTTAGTAACATATTTTACTTTCATGTGATTCCAGATTTTGGAGAGGAAGAAGAATGTTACTTAGCTCTGTGCCTAAGCCCCACTCCTGTGCCTGGCAGGGGACCCACAGCTCACAGCAGGACACAGGTAAAGACTCTGGTGCCCAATGAGGTTAAAACGACTAGCCCAACTGTGTGGCCATCTAGTGAAAGAATGATTCATGCAGTCCAGATTTCAGAAGTCCAAGTGTAAGATGACTGGTAATAAACCATGATTCTTTCTATGTGGGAGTCACTGGGGTTCCTTCGAAAATCCAGTGAAAGCTAAGAACCCTCTCTTCTAAAAAAAAAAAAAAAAAAAAAAAAAAAAAAAAAAAAAAAAAAAAAAAAA